TCATCATGGAAACAACAGTTTATTCTAAACGGTGGATGCACTCGTTACGATGTCTCTAGTTGAATTATAAGCCATTGATAGATGGAAGAAAGGAGAGAGACGCAGTCAGTCAACAGAACACTGACTAAGAACGGCCAAAAACGTTCTCAGGGCTTGTGGATTGTGACGACGTGTGGATTTTCGGCGTTTAGACCTATGCCTCTAGGCGACTTACAAAAATACACACATCCCCAACAGCCAGGCAGACAGATGCATGTGTCGATTTTTTCTTCCCCGCAGGGGAACATCGGGGGTTGCTGTTAAGTTACCGACCGATCCAGTCACCCTCGAGCGACGACTACTCCTGCAGCTGTAGTCGGGGCTGGCTGATGCAACAACCCCAACAAAGGGAACAGCCTTAGTGTTGCATCAGCAACCAGCCAACCAGAACAACGCGACGGCCTTGTTCAGGATTAGAATTTGGTGGTCTGTAAAACAACCCTAAACTTTACATGCCCTGCTTACAATAACAGAACGAGGGTACGTTGTAAGGCAGAGGAAATGCATCCAGGGACACTAAAATATTCTAGTGTTCGTGTTCGCCAGCTTATCCTACTAGAATCTGGGCGAAAAATGCTAGTCGTCATCAAAATCATCATCATCACGGAACGTCTCGATCGAGTGGCTGACACTCCCGCTTTGTATTCGGGACATCCAAGGTTGAAATCTTGGTCAGAGACCGACTATCCTAACTGGGGGTGTCTCATGGCTTGCCTCAGTCCCTCAATTGTCGGGAGTTAATCAGTTGATGTGACGCAATGGGCGAAATACAGCAAGCATCCACACGTGCACGGCGTAGTGAAACGGAATATCTACAGATAATCAGCATCTGGACACTACACAATAAAGTGACGCCAGGAAACGAACCCGGGTGTCCGGAAATTTTATTACGCAGTACCTGTTGGCAATCACTATTGTGTCACACGTGCGCGTGTTTCACGACTGATTCTTACGGCCTGATCACGAGTCATGACTTCCACATTGCATGGTTTGTTACTCCTTCCCCTGATATGCTGAACGTGCACAGTACAGTTCTGTTCAGACCAACGTGTTATCGTCATCAGGTGGAACCTCAATTATACACGAAGCCACGAAGGCGTTTTGTGGAGTCAGTGGCGTATCTTGAACGTGAAGGGCCCGGGAACGGCCGGGACCTAGAACATTGTTCTCACACAGACTATAATAAGAAAGTCATTTTGTATATGTATGATTTGAGGTTTTCACAGCGGTGAGCATGAAGATTTCTGTCTTCTGGGTTGTTGCGCTGTGTAGTCTGGTAGATGTTTACCAACGTTTCAGAGGTCCCTACTGCCTCCGTCCGATGAGTATGAAGATTTCTGTCTTCTGGGTTGTTGCGCTGTGTAGTCTGGTCGATGTTAACCAACGTTTCAGAGGTCATACTGCCTGCAATCGCCCTGATGACGGAGGCAGTATGACCTCTGAAACGTTCGTAAACATCGACCAGACTACACAGCGCAACAACCCAGAAGACAGAAATCTAATTTTGTATACGTCACTCCCTTACTTAAAATGTCCATCTTAAAAGGGTTTCTCGGTTTATTTGCTTTTCGCGTAACAGAACTTACTTCTTTCTTGCGAAATTTTCTATCTCGAATTTCAGTACGATAATTATGTCAATAAAAGCCAAACAATTAGTGTAAATATTACTTGGCAACTCTTGTCACCCACGAATGACGAACGCGATGCCATATTCAAACACATCGGGGGGTGAAATTGTTTGAGGAGTGATGGCAAGGAAGAACAGAACATCCATTTTTTTTAAAAAAAAAAGTCCCGCTGTACGCCATGTAGGCACTTAGACAGCTTTTCTAATAAACAGTCACACTACACGATGCAGAGTCAACATATTTTACACCTATGCAGTAATTGCAACTTGTGTCTAGGCACAATAGAGCGACGTACTTTGAACCCATGGCTGCAACTTCAGTCGTAATGGGTGGTTTTTTTCCTGCCAACATGACAAGCTAGCCACAACAGCTGCCGCAAGAGTAAAAAAGTTAATGCCACCGAGTGTTTAAGAACACGGCAGAGATTTTTCATCTACAGAGAGAGACAAAAAATGTTTCTTGACGTAAGATCCGGTTCAAGAGGATACACTACAGAGTAGATGAACGTCAGTAGACAGTTTTATGCTCCGACCGCATTACCATCTGCAACAGAGTCCTTGGTAGTCGATTGGCTAAGAGAACAGACGCGCTCCAGAGTCGTTCTCGACTTGCCGAAGTGGAAAATTCCTGCCCATGACAGGATTAGAACCCCGGTTGCCCACTACGTGTCAGGTCACTTTTGCGTGTTTGAGTTTAGAGGCGTGTCAGCGTCTTCGGCTTTTCCGCATCTATAAAACTGAAATTTTCAAATTCGTTACGTGACACATGGCAAAAGCGCATCACTGTTGCCTGACAGTGAAGACCAGAGGATAAAAGGTAAGGAAGGTGTGTTGAAAAGAGGCCTGAAAGTGCCAATGAAAACAAAACTTCGAAATTATCAATTAAAGACTCTATTTTCTTCTGGTTTTCCGATCAAAATTTTGTATATTATTCTTACCTCTCCCATTAGTGCTACATCTCCCAATCTCATCCTTAATTAATATTCCATGAAATGCAATATTTATGGACGGTATCTCCCACTGCCCTCTAAGCACTGTGAACGCGTATGTTTTCAGATTTAAGCCAACTAACCGGGATACTATTTATATATCTTCTAAGCAGAACAGCTGCAAAAAAAAATAGTCTTTGCATTTCAAAACAAATGCCTCAGAAAAATAAAATGAACTCCGATCCAGAGAGACAAATCTCATGTCAACATCACAAGACTTGCCTATACTTTAACTACATCTGTTGTTCCGCAAGTAAACTATATCGAATTTCATCCAGTCACGTTTCACGGCTAAAACCAATTTAATTGGTAGTAAAAGTAAAGTTTGTCCCTCTATGCGCCATGTAGGCGCTTGGGGTGAGTGGAGGTATAGCTCCTCTCTTCCTTGACCCCGGCACTAGATGGGGGTGAGTGGTCAGCATCACGCCCCGGCCGGCTTTACCCCCGGGAAAGGACCCCGGTAC